GTAATCAGATCTACAGAGCTGATCAGATTTGGATTCCATTTTGTTCCAAGACACCTTTGTACGTGGTATTAGGGACTTCCATCAAGAGGTACATCTGTCTGGTTTTTCTTTGTTTTCTAGTTTCTATCTTGATTAAAAACAACAACAACCACAAAACTGTGATGTTTACACTGCCATGGGACAAACAGAATTGTGATTTACCTTTTGTAACTTATGTGGCTGATTCCCCAGTTTCTTCTGCAGTGTGAACTAACCTGTCCCCAATGGTTACAGTGTTTTCCTTCTGGGATTCTGAGACATGGCTAGGGGTCAAAGGGAGAGCAATGTCTTCATGTGAGAGGGCCAGTGAGGGTAGGGGACAAGATTTCATCATTCCTCCTACCTACCCTGACTCAAGCTACGGACGCAGGAAGACCTTGTTTGAATCCTCAGGCAAGGCTCAGCTGGGTAACCATGGATAAGCAGCTTAACTTCTTTTGACTCTCAGTTTCCTCAACCCTATACTGTGATAAATAATAATCTCTCCCAAATAGGGCTTACAGTGGACCTCTTATTATTATTATTATTGTAATTATTATTATTCTTTTCTCTTTTTGGCCACACCACACGGTATGCAGGATCTTAGTTCCCTGACCAGGGATTGAACCCGTGGCCCCTGCAGCGGAAGCGCAGAGTCCCAACCACTGGACTGCCAGGGAAGTCCCTGTAGTGGACCTTTTTTATCTTGTGGTCACCCAGCATCTTTTTGAAAACCCCTCCTACACAAGCCAAGACAATTTCTCATTATGAATATAGAAGGTACAATAAAAGATAGACTCTTCTATCCAGCCTCCTGTGTAGTTAGGGCATAGGTATGTGGTCCAGTCTTTTCCAATGAGATGCAGCTGACTTTGATTCAGAAGAGAGATATATGAGGAAGAGGATGCTGCAGGGAGTGGCAGGAACTCAGAGCTTTTGTGGGGCATTTGGAATACTCGGAGTGGAGATCCTTTCTCCCTTATGTCTCCCTTATGACAATGCTCAGTGGTGGCAAAAAACAGGTGCTTTGCTGATAACAGTCCTGGGGTAAAATTGGCATATTGTTCCTGGCTATGTAGCCTTCAAGCCCAATTCTCTATCCTGCTCAGAGACTGTGTGAGCTATTTATATCCTTAAATACATTCCTTTGCTGTTTAAACCAGTCAGAGTATATTCTTTTATTTGCAGCTAAGTTCCCTGACAATTATGGGGATTCCAAGATGTTGCTAAATATGGTGTCTAGTATGAGGAAGGGAGGAGTCAAACTCTACCTGAAGCCTCTGGCCTTCTAGGTAGATGACATAATGCATTTTATTATTGTTTACGCCAACTTAAGTTGGGTTTTCTGTTCTTTGTGCTTAAAAGCATCTGGATTGATTTCTGTGTGTAGCTTCAGTGCCTGTTTGTACCTAGATATGCTCAACACGTGTTCGTTCATAATCACCTTTTAAAAATTACAATATAGGTACTTCCCTGGTGACACAGTGGTTAAGAATCTGCCTACCAATGCAGGGGACACGGGTTCGATCCCTGGTCCAGGAAGATCCTACATGCCTCAGAGCAACTAAGCCCATGCGTCACAACTACTGAGCCTGCACTCTAGAGCCCGCGAGCCACAACTACTGAAACCCACGCGCCTAGAGCCCATGCTCCACATTAAGAGAAACCACCGCAATGAGAAGCCCGCGCACCGCAACGAAGACCCAACACAGCCAGTAAATAAATAATAAAATTAAAATTACAAGATAATGGACATACAATAAACTGTACATATTTGAAGTATATCATTTGAGTTTCAACACATGCAAACACCCATGAGTCCATCACCTTAATTAGGCAATGAACCTACCCATCATACCTAAAAGTTTCTTCGTGCCCTTTTGTAATCTCTCCCTCTTTCCTTCCACCCCAACCCGAGGCAATCACTGATTCCTTTTCTGTCACTTTCTAGAATTTTACATAAATGAAATCAAACAGAATATACTCTTTTTGGTCTTCTTTCACTCAGCATAATTATTTTGAGGTTCATCATGTTGTCTGAATCAATAGTTTGCTGTTTTTAACTGCTGAATAACATTCTATTGTATGGATATACCATAATTTGTTTATCCATTCTAATGGTGGTTATTTGGGTTGTTTCCAGTTTGGAGTTATTACCAGTAAAGCTTCTATGAACATTTGTGTAAAGTCTTTGTTGGGGAATTCTCTGGGTCCAGTGGTTAAGACTCCGCACTTCCATTGCAGGGGGCGCAGGTTCGATCCCTAGCCTGGCAACTAAGATCTCATATGGCCTGCGGCACAAAAAAGTCTTTGTGTGGACGTGTTTTCATTTTTCTTGGGTAAGTATCGAAGGACAGAATGGCTGGGTTGTACGGTAGGTATTTCATTGTTAAAGAAAATGCCAGACTGCTTTCCAAAGTGTTTGCTATTTTACATTCCCACCAGCAGCGTATGAAAGTTCTACTTGCTTTACATCCTTGCCAACGCGCAGTAAGGTCAGTTTTTTAAAAGTTTCTAGCTATTCCAGTAGTACATCATTGTGATTTTACTTTGCGTTTTCCTAATGACTAATGATGTTGAGTATCTTTTTCAAATATTTATTTGCTATCTATGCATCTCCTTTGATGAAATATCTGTTCAAATTTTTTGCCCATTTAAAAAAATTATGTTGTCTTCTTATTTAGCTGTGGAAGTTCTTCATGTATTCTAGTTACAAGTCCTTTTTCTTAGACATGTTTTGCAAACACTCTCTCCCAACCTGTGGCTCACCTTTTCATTTTTGTAAGTGTCTTTTGAAGAGCAAAAGTATTTATTTTAATGAAGTCCAATTGATCCATTTTTTTATAGTTTGTATTTTTTGTGTCATATATAAGAAATCTTTGCCAAACCCAAGGCCATTACTATTTTCCCATAAGATTTATATTAGCAATTTTGTAGTTGTAGCTCTTATATTTTTTAGGCCTGTGATCCATTCTGAGTTAGTTTGGTTATATGGTGTGAAGAAAAGGCCAAGGTTCATTTATCACAGCAATTATTCATTATGTACTCTTTTAAAACTTTTCCCCCAGTTTTACTGAGATATAATTGACATATAACATTGTATTTGTTTAAGGTATACAACATAATGCTTTTATATATGTATATACCGCAAAGTGATTACCAAAATAAGTTTAGTTAACATCCATAACCTCACAAGTTGTAAATTTTTTTCTTGTGATGAGAAATTTTAAGATTTACTACTCTCTTAGCCACTTTCAACTATACAATACAGTATTGTCACATGTACAGTCACATGCTATACATTAATCCCCAGAACTTACTCATCTAATAACTGGAAGTTTGTACATTTTGACCACCTTCATCCCCATCCCACTCCCACACACACAGTGTTTATTGTTTGGGTCATCTGATTTAGTCCTGACATTCTTTGAAGTAAGTATTATCATGCCCATTTTACTGATGAAGAAACAGAGTCTCAGAGAGGATAATTACTTTGTTGAAGGTCTCTTCTCTAAGTTGTTTTGATAGAAATTTACATGTAACTCTCCCTATTATATTTGAGGTTTTTTTTTTTTTGGCTGCCAGGGAATTCCCTCTCCCTACTATATTATTCGCCATTACCTTCCTATTAAAAATGTGAATAGAATTGGTGTGTCCATTAGGATTCTTTGATTGCAAACAACCAGAATCACCCAACACTTAACCCTAATGCCTAAGGATGTATTGGGTCCCCTGACTCGAAGAGTTGGGCTGGCTTCCCTGCTAAATCAGGGCTCCAGTGATGTCCCTAGTCCTTGGCAGATCTCTGTCTCTCTCTCTGCTTGGCTCTGCTCTCCTTTTTTCATTGGCTGCCTTCTCAGGCTTCAGGTAGAAGCCCAATGGTGGCAGCAGCTTTCAGGGTTGAGACCCACCAAGAGGATCATCTGCCTTGTTCCCAGAAGCCCCAGCCTCCTGCTTGCTAACTTCAGACCCTTGGCTTCTGTAGGTACACCCAGGAGGAAAGTAAGACAAAACCTTTCCGAAATGTACAAAAGGGCCGCTTCTTTAAGCCTGTCCACGCAGCACCTACATCAGAACCACTTGCGGGCATCTGGTAACAGGCAACTTTCTGGGCCCAAGACTCTCTTCCTGCAGGTTGACTATGAGGCCCCAAGAAGGAGAGTGACTTCATCAGGCAGCCAGGGCTGATCTACGAAGAAAACCCAGGGAGGAAGGGAGAGAGAATGAGGGGCAGGAAACATGTCCAGCCTCAGCTCCAAGGACTCCCATGTATTTTCCCTCTGGCTCCCATAGCAAGAGAAAAGGCCAGTGCTGAGCCCAGCAGGAGGCTTTGGAGGGAGGTGGCTTCCTGCTAACTAGGGCCTCTGAGTGTGCTCTGAAGGCTCAGATTGCCGCCTCTCACCTCCCAGGGAGGCTCAACATAGCAAGGCATCTCAGGTCTCCGAGCCTCAGGCACAGACATCTTCTGTTAAAGGAGGAGGCGTGGCTGGGGGAAGGAGCTGGGTGGGTCAAGCTCTAGCAAGTGTGAGAGCTGCCTCCTTGGAAAGGGCTCAGGAAGGTGGGGAGGAGTGCATAGGCAGGGTAAACTAGGTAGAGCCTGATCCACTAGGGAGGGAGGCAGAGGGAGGCCAGGACCTCAGTCATTGAGGAGGTAGGCACCTACCTTCCCTCTGCCCCACAGAACCTGTTCCACTGCTGTCTTTAGTTCCTCCCCTGAGCCAGCCAAGGGCCTCAGGGGTAGAGGTAGGTGGGCAGAGAGGTGATGGGAGGGAAGAAGCTGCCCAGCCCTGGGGAACAGATGTCTGCAGGAGAGACAGGTGCCCAGTGCAGGCAGATGCAGCTTTCCCATGATCACCTGCTCCGGAGACAGAGGAGTGACCCTGTCCATCAAAGGATGGGCACTGCCTCCTAGTTTAATTAATGCCATTTTATTATTTATTTTTCATTTTTTTGGCCATACCCTGCAGCATGTGGGATCTTAGCTCCCCGACCAGGGATCAAACCTGGGCCCCTTGCAGTGGAAGTGCAGAGTCTTAACCACTGGACCACCAGGGAAGTCCCTCATTAATGCCATTAAAAAAAAAAAATATATATATATATATATATATTTTAGCTGTTAGGTCTTCATTGCTGTGCAGGGGCTTTCTCTAGTTGCAGCGAGCGGGGGCTACTCTGTTGCAGTGCACGGGCTTCTCATTGCGGTGGCTTCTCTTATTGTGGAGCATGGGCTCTAGGCGCGCAGGCTCAGTAGTTGTGGCTCGTGGGCTCTAGAGCACAGGCTCCATAGTTGTGGCGCATGGGCTTAGTTGCTGTGCTGCATGTGGGATCTTCCTGGACCAGGGCTCAACCCCGTGTCCCCTGCATTGGCAGGTGGATTATTTTTTTAAATTTTTTTTTATTTTTAACATCTTTATTGGGGTATAATTGCTTTACAATGGTGTGTTACTTTCTGCTTTATAACAAAGTGAATCAGTTATACATATACATATGTTCCCATATCTCTTCCCTCTTGCGTCTCCCTCCCTCCCACCCTCCCTATCCCACCCCTCCAGGCGGTCACAAAGCACCGAGCTGATCTCCCTGTGCTATGCGGCTGCTTCCCACTAGCTATCTACCTTACGTTTGTTCTCCAGTAGGTCTGTGTCTTTATTCCTGTTTTACCCCTAGGTTCTTCATAACATTTTTTTTTTCTTAAATTCCATATATATGTGTTAGCATACGGTATTTGTCTTTCTCTTTCTGACTTACTTCACTCTGTATGACAGACTCTAGGTCTATCCACCTCATTACAAATAGCTCAATTTCGTTTCTTTTTATGGCTGAGTAATATTCCATTGTATATATGTGCCACATCTTCTTTATCCATTCATCCGACGATGGGCACTTAGGTTGTTTCCATCTCCGGGCTATTGTAAATAGAGCTGCAATGAACATTTTGGTACATGACTCTTTCTGAATTCTGGTTTCCTCAGGGTATATGCCTAGTAGTGGGATTGCTGGGTCATATGGTAGTTCTATTTGTAGTTTTTTAAGGAACCTCCATACTGTTCTCCATAGTGGCTGAACCAATTCACATTCCCACCAGCAGTGCAAGAGTGTTCCCTTTTCTCCACACCCTCTCCAGCACTTATTGTTCCTAGATTTTCTGATGATGGCCATTCTGACTGGTGTGAGATGATATCTCATTGTAGTTTTGATTTGCATTTCTCTAATGATTAATGATGTTGAGCATTCTTTCACGTGTTTGTTGGCAGTCTGTATATCTTCTTTGGAGAAATGTCTCTTTAGGTCTACTGGCAGGTGGATTCTTAACCACTGTGCCACCAGGGGAGCCCCATTAATGCCATTTTATACTTCCTCAGACCATAAAATGTCATCTTATGGCCACTACATCAGCACAGTACTTGTTTGGTTGGTTAGCTGTAAGATTTAGAAATAATGCAGGATGGGACTTCCCTGGTGGCACCGTGGTTAAGAATCCGCCTGCCAATGCAGGGGACACGGGTTTGATCCCTGGTCCAGGAGGATCCCACATGCCACAGAGCAACTAAGCCCGTGCACCACAACTACTGAGCCCACATGCCACAACTACTGAAGCCCATACGCCTAGAGCCTGTGCTCTGCAACAAGAGAAGCCACTGCAATGAGAAGCCCATGCACTGCAACGAAGAGTACCCTGCTCGCCACAATTAGAGAAAGCCTGCGGGCAGCAACAAAGATCTAACACAGCCAAAAATAAACAAATTTTAAAAATTATTTGAAAAAAGAGAAAGAAAGAATGCAAGAACAGTCTTCTTGTCCCAAACTCTCATTGTATAGATGGAAGACTGAGGTCTGGAAGGGGCAGGGCCATGAAGCTATTTAATATGCTTATCACCTTCTCTCATGGAGCACTGTGGTAGAAAAGTCCCCTACTTTAAAAATTATTTTATACACGCACACATACATAATATACATATGACATATATATTTCATAATATTTTGGTTAATTTGATATTTCAAAAATTCATAAGGCACCCCCAAAAAAGTCTTCTTCCCATTTCTATTCTTGGTCTCCCAGAATAACTAAGCCCATGCACCACAACTACTGAACCCGCATGCTGCAACTACTGAAGCCCGCGTGCCTAGAGCTCATGCTCCCAACAAGAGAAGCCACCACAATGAGAAGCCTGCGCACCATGACAAAGAGTAGCCCCCACTCGCCGCAACTAGAGAAAAGCCCGTGTGCAGCAACGAAGACCCAACACAGCCAAAAATTAAAAAATTAAATAAATTTTTTTTAAAAACCCACTTAATTTTAGTACCTAGCTGCCTCATTCTTTTTAACAGTACGTAATATTTAATTATATGGCTGAAGCATAATTTATTAACGACCCTCCTATTTAGGTTCCAAACATTAACTATGAAAGCTATGGTCCAGTGAATATCCTGGTGCATATTATGTACGTCTTTTGGCACCTGTATACCTGTAGGGTAAATTTCTGAAGTGGAATTGCTGGGACGAAGAGTTTTTGTTTTTGTTTTTGTTTTGAATTTTATTTATTTTTTTATAGAGCATGTTCTTATTAGTCATCCATTTTATACACATCAGTGTATACATGTCAATCCCAATCTCCCAATTCATCACACCACCACCACCACCCCCTGCCGCTTTCCCCCCTTGGTGTCCATACGTTTGTCTCTACATCTGTCTTTTTATATTTAATTTTTTGATAGATATTATGAGTCGGCCTTTTAAAGAGGTTGTGCCAGTTGACTTTCCCAGCAACGGTGTGTGGTGGGACCTGTTTTCAGACATTTGACCAGCATGAGTTCCCTTTTTTTTTTTTTTTTTTTTTTTTGCGGTACGGGGGCCTCTCAGCCTCTCACCGCTGCGGCCTCTCCCGCTGCGGAGCACAGGCTCCGGACGCGCAGGCTCAGCGGCCATGGCTCACGGGCCCAGCCGCTCCGCGGCATGTGGGATCTTCCCGGACCGGGGCACGAACCCGAGTCCCCTGCATCGGCAGGCGGACTCTCAACCACTGCGCCACCAGGGAAGCCCGTGAGTTCCCTTTTGTTGTTTTTTTTGTTTTGTCTTGCTCATCTGATAGGTGAACAATGGTATCCTGTAGTTTTAATCTACATTTCTTATGTTATGAATGAGGTTGAGCATCTAAGATAGAAACACAGACACAGTTTGTAACTGGAGTGGGGTCTGGCCCCTACCCCAGCCTGAGTCACCGTGCCTGTCTTCCTCACCTCAGCTGATGAGAGCTGGCAGGGCAGCCTGGGCCCCAGCCCTCCCAAGAACTGTCTTCCCCGCCCCCTCACCTGCGATGAGTAACAGTTTCTCCTGGGTGACTGGAAGAGGCATGTTTTATTCAGGCACCCTGGTTTGTCCGGCTTTTCTGACCCTGAGGGCTGGGTCTTGGCCTCTGATGCAAAACAGAGGAGTTGCAGCAGAGAAATGGCAAGATGAGACCTGCTTTTATTGGGAATGGAGCTGGGGTATATGGGTAGGTGGGGAGGAGGCTGCAGTAGTTCAAGGTGAGCACTGATGAGCCCGAGCTAAGCAGTGGGGCCCGGGGAGCGACCCAGACAGACTGACTAGGGGCCGAGGAAGAGGGAGAGGCAGAATGGTGATGGGGGTGGAGTCAGGATGGCAGAGGAGGAGTGAGTTGAAGCTTGCCTGTGGGATGGACAAAGGAGATGAAAAAATGTTTGTTGGATGAATGTCCTCCCAGTGGCCATAGGATTGGAGTGGCCACGTGTTCAACAGCAGGATGGTTAATTCAGCCAGTCTGGCCACAACAGGTTAAACCAACTCTGGGGCGTGTCCTGCTGCTGGCTTTCTGCAATGACACAGTCTGGTTTCCTGGAAGACAATTAACACACAGCTAGCTTTACTCGTGATTTACCACCTGGGTCTAGCTTCTTCTGTGATGCCTCCTGCTGTCCCTCTGGTGCAGGGAATGTGGGTTGGGGAGTGGGCTGGTGGCCAGACAAGCAAGAGCTGGAGGAGGAGCAGGTACACTGGAGGTGGGGGGAAGGGGGAAACAGGGGTCCACCGACCCCAGCCCCCATCCAGGCTGCTGGCCAGAGCAGAAGGTCAACCAGGCCTGGTGGCCACTGCCCTTTTCAGGCATGTGTTCTAGATCCTTCTCCTACTTCAGCCCATGTTTCTTCCACAGGCTCTCACCCCGTGTCTCCCAGAGTTCTCAGAGTCCCAAATGAAAACTCTCAGGTGGCAGCAAGAAACCCACTATCAGTACCTTAGTCTCTCTTTTAGGGTCTGCAGATAAATTTGAATTTCAGATAATAAATAAATTTTTTTAGTATAAGTATATCCCAAATATTGTATGGGACGGACATACTTATATCCTTCAAAAATAAAAAAACCACTCATTTGAAATTCTCCTTTAACTGGGCATCCTTTTTAAAAAATTTGCTAACTGGTGGTGCAGTGGTTAAGAATGTGCCTGCCAATGCAGAGAACACGGGTTCGAGTCTTGGTCGGGAAGATCCCACATGCGGCAGAGCAACTAAGCCTGTGCGACACAACTACTGAGCCCGCGCACCTAGGGCCCATGCTCCGCAGACAAAGACAAGACAAGCCATCGCAATGAGAAGCCTGTGCACTGCAATGAAGAGCAGCCCCTGCTCGTCTGCAACTAGAGAAAGCCTGAGTGCAGCAACGAAGACCCAATGCAGCCATAAATATTTATTTATTTATTTACATTTTTTAAAAAAACTTTCTTTAAAAAACTTTTTTTTGGGCTAAATCTGGCAACTCCGCCAGCCCTCCCCCAGCGGATGAAGACAGCCACTGCCACCTGACCTGTCACTGGCCCAGGTCCTTTACTGCGCGGGCACCAGGGGCTTTACTTCCATTCACCAGGCACATGGTCACACGACGACCCTCTGAGGAGGGCGTTCAGTCCCCTCTGGGTGAGAAAACTGAGGCTCGGAGACACGAAGTGACTTGCCTAAGGTCAGACAGTAACGCAGGCGCAGAGGCAGAATCCGAGCCCCGGCCCGGCCAATTCCACGTTCAAGCTATCTGCCCTCCCCACTCA